TATATATATATATATATATATATATATATTCTAAAGTGTGTATTGTATTGTGCAGTTTAAGTTTGTATATTACATTTTTTTATATTTTTTAAAAGCATTTCATAATATTAATATATATATATATGTTATACGTCTTTTAACATTAACATATTAAATGTTATTATTTAAATATGACTACTTATAAATGTCATATATACACACACACTTTAGAATATGCATGTGTATCTATTACAATATTATTAAATGGTATTATGTAAAGATATTTTAATAATACACACACACAGTATATTATTTATTTTTATTTATTTAAATTTAATAAACACTAATAATTTTTTGGGGGAAAATATTTAGTTGTTACATGATTATGTTTTTTTCTACTCAATTTATTTGTTTATTTATTTATTCATTTTACCACACACACAGAGTATATAAAATGCTAAAAAAAAAAATCAAAATCAATCTATTTATTTATTTAGTAATTGTTAAATATTTTTTCTACTCTGTTGGTTTATTTTATTTAATATAAGTTTTATGTATTTGTCTATTTATTTGCTTACACACACATGTGTATACAACACACATATATACAGAATATTTGCACTGGAAAAGAAGAAAAAAATGAGTAAGACAATATATTTTTCAACTCTCCTTAACAAGAAACATGATTTGAGGAATCAGTAAATTCTGGAGAAAAACTCTAATCACCTCAAATCACTAACCCCAAGAATTAATAGTATTAATAGTATTAGCCATGCTTAAATGTATTAGTAGATGTTTCTCCACATAAACTCTGATGATCAACAGCACTGCGTTAAAGCAGATGGCCAGTGAGCGGATATTGTCTGCTGGGGAACACCATTAATTACACACACAGAGGGAGAGTGTTATCAGGACACTTCTGCCTCTTCTGTAATGAGACTTTTACAGCCGCGTACAGGAAGGAACTAATTATACGAGGCAGAGACTCGCTCGATGAAAGTGCGGTTATAAATAAAGACATCTGTGGAACAAATGAAAAATGATTATGACTCATGTTTTCTCATATAAAAGGAGTCTGATACGAATTATAGCAATTAGCGAGGAACCACCTGCAGTCATGTGACTTTTCTAGCATATGTGGCTTTGAGGCAGATTCTGCATTAATTAGCCGGAATTGTTTTCTTCTTTGTCTTATGATGAGAAATCCAGGTGAAAATTATTTTTCACTTTGCTAATCTATAAAACGTACATATACAATGTCATTAACTCTCAGCCATTTTAAATAGCATCTGCTTCCATAAATAACTAGAACAGTTATACTTTTTAAAGTTAACTTAAGTTACACAACTTAGACAATTAGCCTGTCAATGAACTAACTTTCTATGCTCTAGCAGTCACCTAGAACATTATTATTGTTACCAAAAATATTAAAACTTTTTTGCTAACTGAAATAACACTGAAATAAAATACAATTTAAATATTAGATGAAAAACTAAATATAAAGGAAAATTAGAAATATTGCCTTGGCAACTAACTGAAATGCATTTATGTCAACTGGAAATAAACTAAACCTGCACTTAAACTAAAAATAACTAGTTAATAGTAATGTAAAAAAAATAAAATTTTTTTTAAAATTAATTAAAATGAAAATTCAAAAAGTAAAATACAAATAGAAATAAAA